TCCCTTTGATTTTTTTGTCCAATTTCTAGTGGGAGAAATAGCCACTAATTGAGCACTTGGAGGAAGAGACGGTGTACCTGTAAAGATGAAGTAGTCATGATTAGGCTTGTTATCTGCTCATCTCTTCATTTCTGAAGCACTAACCGTGACCATGGAAAATACACAACAAGGACCAGGGCACCTGACAGAGAGGGGAAAGAAGTTATGTCCCTGGTAAGATGGTTCCTAATGGGCTGACCCACAAGATCTGCAGCCAAGAGGGGCAGAAAAGAGAGGCCCCTTCATCCCCGCTGGTGACCTCGCAGTAAACCGTGAAACCTGTTAGGCTACAGACCACTCTGCATTACAAGGAATGCTGAATTTGAATGAGAATGCTGATGTGCCTGCCTTCCACACCAAACCATAGATGTCATACCACAACACTGTAAAATGCCTGGATCAGAAGTGCCGAATCACAGGAGAGATCCAAGAGAATGCTGTCCACACCCAGAAAACTGATCCCAAGTTATTTACTGTTCTCAACACATCCCTTCTCCCATCTCTCATGGCAGACCTGTCTCCTAATCATTTCTCAGACAGTGTCTTGAAGGTGTCTCTGGCCTAGAGCCCAGACTGGCCCAGCAGAGATCGGGCACTGATCTCAGAGCACTAGTGTTGAGGGGCGGTGAGGAGCGGTCTTGACTTTCCCCTTGTGCTTGGCGGATGGTCTGGCCCACCATCTGCAGTCCTCCCGGACCCAGGTCTGCACTCTCCAAATCTAAGAACACACAAGAAGAACCAGTGTTTGTCCCAGTTGGTCAGCTCAGAGTCATCATGCTCAGACACCTTGCCAGGGGATGGCTTAGGGAGAGAGTGGCAGGTTTGTGGAATAAGGGTCAAGGGTCAAGGGTCAAGGCTGGATGTGGGAGGCTTGGTCTGTCTCGTGGGCTCCTACATCGGGACACATGGGCCAAATCCAACCTGACACTCATCTTTATATAGCTTGTAAGCTAAGAGTAGTTTATACATTTTAAAATAAATCTAAATATCAAAAGAAGAATAATATTTAGTGACAGGTGAATTTCGATGAAATTCCAATTTCTCTGTCTATAAATAAGGTTTTATTGGAACATTCTCATTCACTGGTGCATTGTCTATGGCTGCTTTCGGGCTACAACAGCAGAGTTGAAGAGTTGAAGAGTCGAAGAGACAGGAAGTTCCACAAAGCCAAAAATATTTATTGTCTGGACCTTATAGAAAAAGTTTGCTGATCCTGACCTCGAGTGGGGAAGGTGCTCAAGATGTAATAAATAACAGCCAGACATGACACAAGTCTGCTTTTAAAAGTCGCACAGCACTACAAGTTTGGTGTGGCTATTACTCCATTTTACAGGTGGGAAAACTGAGGTGAAACAATTGGCCCATGGTCACAGAGCTCTTAAAGCAGCAAGGCCATTATTTAAACTCAGGAATCTGGCTTCAAGATCCACTGTGCTTTTTCACCTCTCAGCATTCGATGAGTGAGCACATGGATGTCTACAGCTGGAGAAGGCCCTTAACATGGCCTGGTACAGCTTCTATAAACCTGCCATTCTCTCCCTAAGCCATCCCCTCAGTTTTGTTATTAGTAAAATGAGGAGAAATAAGAGTATATATATGGGGTTGCTGATGCATGTCAAGCATTCCCTCGGTGGTGCAAGAGGCCTTGCTGGAAACAGCATTGGCCAGCAATGACAGCAGCAAGCCCTGTCTGACTTCAGAATGCATTCGCCGCTTCCCTCTTTGAATCTTTAAATGTGCCATTTGAAGTACACGATTACCATGAAACATTTCCTAGTTAGGTGTCCTGTCTCCCATTTAGGCTACAGACCTATAAACCTTCTGTACCACACACCTTACACATTTCCTTGGTGCTCACAGAGACTCTGGTGCTCCATAGCCCTAAGTCTGGACTGTGATTTTCTTTCCATTAATTGATTGAAATGCTGTCATGCTCTCCTGAGCCCTTTCTTTCATGAGGGGCTTCAGGGGGAAGGCTGGAGACAAGTTATCTTCCTAACACAGCACTCTGACAGGCCAACAGAGAATCTGATCACTACAGTTGGCCTGGAGACGCCCAACAACATCATATATTTAAGCAACAAAAAAGAAAGCACTTTCATTAAAATGATCCCTTGAGCAGCCGCTGAATTCTAAGTGGGCAGGAGAGTGCCATCTGGGTGGGGGCTGGCCTCTACTAAGCCCTGACTGTCACTTGAGGAAGAGGACTTCTGGGAAAGCCCCTGAAACCCACGATGCCATAGGCCCTGCCCACTGTTTCCACGAAGTCCAAGAATCCAGAGCCCCCAGAGATGTGGCCAAAGGTTAATGGGCTCCGGAGGGAAGACCAGACGTATATAAGGGCCTGTCAGACAAGCCAAATATCAGAAGACAAGCAGAGAGACATTCTGCCAGGCCCATACAGACCACTCTCACGCTGTGAGTAGCCATGGAAGAAAGTGGGTGGGGGAGGGGTGAGCATGAGCACCAGGGCACAATGGTGTCGTGAACTGATCGGCTCCTGTGTCCCTCTGCCACCTTCAAATACTTAGCTGGGTTTCAGAGTACCCCAAGCTGACCTCCAGAGTAGCAAGTTAAAGCTCCACATAGTATGCAGAAGCAGGGCTGTCCTGGGGCATGGAGCCTGGAGTGGGGAGCAGGTGGACACAATTCCTGGCAACAGAGAGGCTGTTTGGGGTGGGTGGTGCCATCGATTGCAAGCCAGAAGCCCAAGCCAGAGCTCAGCAGGCATGCAGGACCCCACGTGGAATGGAAGCTTTGCATGGAAAAGTCAAAGGAAAAAGTTGGTCCCTAGGGAGATTACATGGCTCAGCAAGACTATCCAGGTTTGGCACTCCTACAGGAGGGGGAGAAAGGAGACAGATGCCACCTCATTCAGAGCTGAGAGCCTGAATCCTGGAGACCATCCTTGGTAATGGAATGAGAAGTCAGCACCTCATCATACAGGCAAAAGCTCTTTCTCCCACTCTGAGCTCTCCAGAACACAAATGAATGTAGAGGATATGCTGACTGCCAGTTGGATCAAGAAAATGAACAGCAATTGGATTTTGCCTTATTTTATTTCAAGTTTTTATTGATTCTTATGGAGTGAATTAAATGCCAACACCAGAATGAAAAGGGATCTATAGCATCTCCGTGAAGGAAATGGGATGCCATAAATGTGACACATGCATCTCCACTGAGAGGGAAAGCGGGCCCTAGAGACTCCTCTGTAGGGGAAGGGTAGGAATAGAGGAGAGGAGCAGTGATTCAGTTCCCCACCCCAACCTGTTCTCTGTCCCCTCAGGATCCTCCTGAGGCTCTGTACAGGACCTCAGCTTCAGTGGGTGGGTGGTCCTGCCTGTCCTGGATGGAATTTGTATGCAGCTGGCATGTAGGGCTTTGGCTGTCTGAGCTCTCATGTTCTTGCTCGAGGAGTTTCATCGAGATGCAGAGACAAAGTAGGACAGGGCAACAGGAGAGCAAGAAGGCAGAGGGAATGTCCTGCTGAGTAGAAGTGGCTTCAAATGACTGGCAGAGGCAGGACACAAGCCTTGGAAGATTCTCTCCATAGGAAGAGTCAGGGTTAGACCTGCAGAGAAGCTTGGAGACCAGCTCAGGAAGGACCCTCCCCTATACAACAGATTCCTTTGGGAGGCCCGAGTTGACCCCTGGAAGTCTTTTATCTAGAACCCAGTAATCACCCTATGCCTGTTGCAGTGAAGGCTCCTCCTGGTCTTTGCTCCCTGCTCTGGAGGCCTGACTCCTGAGCTCAGCAGTCCACCTGTCACAGGAATGTTGGTGCCCAGGATACATTTGGCAGGCCTTCCCACTGTGATGCCCTTTTCCACTTTCTGTGGCCAGAAGCAACATGCAGTGGGGTATTAGGAAAAGCACCAGCCCTGAGAAGGCCAGACTGCCAGCCGCCACTACCTTTGAATGAGATCCCCCTGCCCTCCCCAAATCACACCTGCTTCCAGTTGAGCATGAGGATCTTGTGGAGGGGGCTTAGAATGGGATGCTGGGCTCCAGTGTAAGGAATCAACAAGGCTGGCACCTGGCAAGCCACGCCCTCCTCCCCATTGGACCATCCTGACCCTGCCCAAAGTCCACCCCGCTGACCCCTTTTCTCAAGTCTGCACTCCCGCTGTCACCACACCCATCTGCTCCCTGTCAGTTCTCTGTAGCCCACCTTCCAGACATATCCACTTCCTAGGATGCAGAGGGTCCCACATACATCACCAGCACTCATGCATGTTGAGGTGTGGGGTGGGGGCTTGCAAGGAGGAGGTGCTCCCCTATTGTTTCTGCATGCCAGCTAACAGCTAGCTAGATTCTCTGGCACTGGGGAAGGGCTTGTTTCAGGGCCAGTGCTGGCTGCAGAAGGGTGGGGGCCCCACCCCTAGGTCTTGGATGCTGCTCTATGCTGAAGTTTTTCACATGAGTAGAGGGTCAGCCCTTTTCTCTCTAGGCCCAGGGTCTTGGCCTGGTGCTCCAGGCCAAGTGGAGTCAGGGCCATCTGGGCCTGGATCTATCCCTTTCAACATCCTAATTGGCTCAGGGAGCAGGGCAGGCTCCCTGGGTCTTGGGGCCCAGTTCTTTTGATAATCTAGGAATTTTTTCTCTGAGACATGAGGTCCCTTCTACTTCAGGAGCCCAGCTGACCCCCAGCAGACCTCACCTATAACAAAGAGAAGGACTGACAAATGGAATAATTTTTCCCTGGTGTGTGGCAGGGGGCCAGGCTCCCTCTCCTGCGTGCTTGGTCAGCTCTCATGGCTCTGGGGTAAAGAGGAGACTCTGAGCTCATCTGGTTAAGATCCATTCCAGGTCCATGTCCAGAGAGGCAAGTAGCTTACTCAAGAGCACACAGCTATAGTAGGTCATGGACCAGAGATGAGGGCCCCTGCCCCCAATGCAGCAGCCCATCACAGTGCCCTAAACTTTGGGACAGGAGCTCCTTGTCATTGTTCAGCTCGAGGATGGTGTCCCGCAAGGCTGTGGCAGCCCTGGTGGTGGTTCAAATCGTTGCTATGCTGGCCTCCCAGACAGAAGCCTTCGTTCCCATCTTCACCTACAGTGAACTCCAGAGGATGCAGGTAAGAAATCTGCTGCCCACTTTCCCAGTGCGGCCCAAGTGATGCACAGCCTTGCTCAGCACTTAAGTGATTCTAGTTTTTCTAAGGCACAAGTGTCTCTTCAATAAATCTACCTTTAACCAATTATGCCAGTGACACCAAGGACAGCATGAAGAACCCAGACCCAAGATAACCCCAGACTCCAGCTGTCTTCCTAGCTACCTCCACTCCTTCACTGGTGCCACTCAAAGGTGTCAGTGGAGTGACATCTTTTCCCACTCCTGCCCATCCTTCAGAGGAAATTTTCAATTAATAAGTCAATAAATATTTGCTGAGCATCTAGGTGAGAAGCTATACATACAAGGAAATCTAAGAACCTCTGGTCTTTAAGGAGCAGGCTTAGGAGTCAAGACACAAACATATGAAAAATTCACTAACAATAGAAGACAAAAGGGAGATGTCACAAGGCAGGGGATGATTAATTGCCCAATAAGTGATGCTGATGGTTAAGTGCTGAGTTCAGAGCAGGGAGAAATCACTGTGGGCTGGCCTACAGGGAAAAGGTGAAACCTGAGCTGAGGCCTTGAGAGAGCAGGAGGGAGGAACGGATGGGAGCGAACTTCCGGGATGGGAGACAAGGTGGTTTTCTGTGTAGCAGTGGCCAAGCCTCCTTTCCTTAGGCAGTGGGGCCTAAGGAAAACTGGACTGTGGGCCTGCCTCCCTGTGACTTTTACTTTAGACGTCAGGGATTCTGAGCGTCTGTGCCAACACTGGTTTCTCTCTTTCATCTGGGGAGATGAAGAAATAGAACTTTCATGTCCCATCAGTCTGAGACCGAGGCTCCAATAGGGACAAATACCTGAGTCAGTTCTCTGGGAGAGAGGTCGCGTGGCCCTGTGGTCTGGCTTCTCTATCTACACTCTCTGTCCAGGGTAGGCATCTACATACCCACTGAACAGTGCGTCCCTTGCAGAGGCAAGGCTGGGCCTAGCTCCCCTTCTTCAGGAACAGACATGGAAACAGATGGAAAAGAAGCAATAGGACCCCTAAACACACTTTCCTCCATCGCTGGCTCCCTCTCCAGATAAGACAACCAATTATTCTGGAATCACTATGTTTCAGGGCAGGCCCAGAGCCGAATCCCAAGAGTGACATTAGAGAACCAAAGGAAGGGAGTATATCTGATCTCAATGCTTGGGGACCTGGCAAACAAGATGGCAGGCAAGATTTGGGGCTGGACAGAAACACTAAAACTCAGCAGAACATAAACTAGCAAAATGGTAACCAAAGGACAGTTTGCTTGCCATTAATTTGCTCTATGGTTTTACTTCTGTAATTGCCAGGCTCCAGAATTTTTATGAAGAAGGTGCAAACTCCTTCCTCCATAATTCATCTCCCTGTTTTGCCTCTTATAATTCGCCTCCCAGGGACTCCAATTTCCGGGCCACCCCATGGCACCCTCCTAGGCTAGGCTGTCTTGCCACCTTTTTTATAGGCTCTCTGTTAAGAAAAACACATCTTTACACTTAATATACATGAAGGGTGGCCATTATTTTCAGAATTTTAACTTAAATAACAGGAACAATCTGAGTGTAATGTTTGAACTTCAAAGGAACAGATTCCTCTTCAAGTTGACCTGCTGGGCAACTCCAAGGACCATTTTTAAGCCACTGGTGCCTGCAACTCCCCGTGCAGAAGGCACTTGAGGAGAAGGGGTTTTGTGGCCTCTGGGGAGCTCAGGCCAGTTGGCACTCTGGGCAGAAACAGGCAAGGGCCATCTGGGCGAGTTGAGCAAGAGAAGGTTTTATGTAATTTTATGCTCTGCCCCTAGGAAAAGGAGCGGAACAAAGGGCAAAAGAAATCCCTGAGTGAACAACAAAGGTCTGAAGAGATGGGTCCTCTGGACCCCGCAGAAGATGACCAAGTTATCAAGGTAAGCAGATGGGGGACAATGCAGAGAGACCTAGTGTAGGCTTCCTTGGCCAACCACAGAATGTGCTAGGGCACAGCAGTGAGTCAGACATTCAAGCAATGAACTCCATCCTAGGAGGACCAACAATAACACAATAAACCATTTTAGATACCAAATAAGGAGGTATGATAGAGAGTGCTGGGGTGAGATTTGGGGGCACTGCTTTGGATAGGGGAGGGGTCAGGGAAGGCCTCTTGGAAGCATAACATTCTATTTGAGACCTGAATGATGAAAAGCAGCCCTCCCACCATGCAAAGAGCTGGAGCAAGAACATCCCAGAAGAAGGAACAATGGCCCTGCTCAGAAAGCACCTGGTGGGGTTGAGGCCCTCGAGGCTAAGAGGGCAAGAGATCAGCAGGGCCTGGTGGGCCAGAGGCCACTGCGGATTCCAAGCAGAGAATTCACTGGATCTGACTAAGAAAGATTTGGGCAGCATGAGTGAAAGCAGACTAGTCAGGAGGCTAGTCTCATGAGTAGATGGAATTAGCGCAAAGACCTGAAGAGAATGAGGAATTGAACCCTAAGAATGTTTGGAAAAAGAGCAGTCCTTGCAGAAGGAACATCCAGTGCAAAGGCCCTGAGGTAGAAGACAGTCTGGTGCACTCAGGAAACAGTGAGGAGGCCAGAGTGGCTGGAGCAGAGGTATTCATCAGGAGAGAGAGTCGGAGGTGAGGTCGAAAACGTGGAATTCACTGGCCATTGTTTGGACTTGGTTTTCACTCTGCTGACTGGGAGCCCTTGGGGGCTTTGAGCAGAAAAGAAACATGATCTGGCTTACATTTTAAAAGAGTCTCCCCAGCTTCTGTGTTGAGT